AAAGAGATGTCAGGTAAAACAATGTTGGACTGGCTGGATATTTGGGCCATACCACTTAAAAAGGGATGTCAGGTAAAACAATGTTGGACTGGCTGTATATTTGGGCCATACCACTTAAAAAGGGATGTCAGGTAAAACAATGTTGGACTGGCTGTATATTTGGGCCCTATCAAAGTTTTGTAGCCTGTTGCTTTCCTATTATTTTATGGTCCTTCAACACTTTCTATACTAGTCCGGAAATGTTTCCTGTGATTTTGCTTGTCAGTGAATGGCCTTGACAATGATTGGTTGATAAACAAGCCAGTAGGCTGGTTGCCGATCCGCTTTGCTCTAAAAACAAACAACATGTTTTTGGCTGTTGCCATGGTAGGACATGAACGTGAAGCTAACATCAGTTTATGACCAAAACTGGGCCCTGTATATGAAGTTCGCAAAAAGCATTCTGTCTTCAGAAGTTCTTCCACTTTATTACTAGCACATATTCTGCTGTTATAATTATTATTTCTGACTGTTTTGTGATTGTATTTTCTAGATTTTTTAACTGAACGCAGCATTTACAGTTTATTCAAAGTTATTAAAGTTGCGTTGAGAGTATGTTGATACATTCTAACAATGTTAGCGCTGGTGATCTCTTGTCAGTGTGCAACTTAGCCAAAATAAAAAGCATGATTATTTGAACACTGCTATTACAAGACAGGTAGGAGGTAATACATTTGGGTAAAAAGTATTAAAAAACCTGTTTTTAGCTCTGCTGTCAACTTTGTCGAGCAGAGCTTATATGAGTGATTGTCCTTCGTCGTCTGTTGTTGTCCGTGTCAATGTTTTACTTTTTCGATTTCTTTTTGAAAACTACAAGCCTGAATCCTTTGGTATTTGGTGTACCTTGGGTAGACCTATCTTGGATTTGTTCATTTCATAATGATATCTTTGATTCTCTAATTTTGGTGAATATTTTTGTCATTTTTGTTAAAAACTGATATTTTCGACTTCTTGTTAAAAACCGCAAGTCCAATTGCTTTGACATTACATATATAGGTACTACATGTGGACCTCTCTCAGATTTGTTCATTTTGTAATGATATCTATAATTCTCTAATTTTGGTGAATATTTTTGTGATTTTTGGTAAAAAGTGATATTTTTGACTTCTTGTTAAAACCCACAAGTCCAATTGCTTTGATATTATACATATAGGTACTACATGTGGACCTCTCTCAGATTTGTACATTTCATGATGATATCTTCAATTATTTAATTTGATGAAAACAGCAAGACCGTTTGCTTTGATACTATACATATTGTTCATTTTCGAATGATATCTTCAGTTCTTTATTTGAAATGTGCATTGCTAACAGTGAAGGTATCTCAGCCAATAGACTGCTTGTTTGGCTGTTGTCATGGCAGCGGTGGGCCAGAATTTTTTTTCCAATTAGTGATGCCTGCCAAGTATGAACAGAACCGGCCAAGCCAAAAAAATCACCAAAAATAAATCTAGATCAAATTTCTTGGTAATGAAAAAAGACACCAAAAAGCAAATTGTATTTTTGTGTCCACACCCAAACTGAGTAGAATGAGCTATGTCTCAGCTTTTTAATCCTAGAATTGTAAGATGAGAAACATTTAGTGCCAAAGGATTAAAAAAATCACACACATAAAAGGCCTAATTTTGCCACATATATGAAACATGACAGTATGCATTAATATTATGAACAATATTTTGCTTTTTAGTTTTGATTTGGTGTTTTCTAACTGGCTAATGATGTATTTGACAAATGAAGAGGTTCTTGCATTGGCCAGAAATATGCTCTCCTGGTTGAAAGAAGATGGATTTGTTTTTTTTAGAGAGTCATGTTTCCATCAATCAGGTAGGTACATGTGTATATTTTCAGAGATGGAGCACCATGTTTCCACCAATCAGATGGAGCACCATGTTTCCACCAATCAGATGGAGCACCATGTTTCTACCAATCAGATGGAGCACCATGTGCATTCATCTCATAATTTTTGACTCCCGTGTGCGAAGCACAAAAAGGGAGTCTTTGC